AACAATGCAACCGGCGAAAGGCGGAGAAAAGTCTAAAGTTTTTGCAACTACGTGCACAGACACACACACACACACACACATACAAGCATGCACTCGTATGCATGTATCTTTGGGATGTATCTTCCCTGCCCCCAAAAATACAATCTTTTTTGGTACATTTCTGGCGTGGCCTTGCAGCTGTCAAAAACGTATCTTCCTCCCAGACACCCGGAGCTCATTTGGCATCTGACAGATGCGGACAGCCCATGCGGGGAGAGTTGAGCCAATTTTCACTGCCAGATGAAACAATTATCTGATCATTGAACTTTGCTTTGGTTGACATTCGTCTAGCTTTTTGCATTGTATTTTTTTTTTTTTTTTTTTAATTTTTTTTTGGGAGAAACTTTCATTTAGAATTGCTCGGCTTTTGTTCAAAATTGTATTCAAATTGGTTTGTTTTATGGGTATTTAGGTCATGTGTGTACAGGCCGTTTCAGCATTTTAAGGCAGATTTATCAAGTATGGTTATCGAAAGCGATCTTTCGAAACATCGAATTAGTTATCAAACAGGGTTATTTATCGATATCATTTCTATTTAGTAACGTTAAGAACTCTATTACTATCACATGGAAATAATTTCACAACTTTAGAATCTAAAACCCCGAAGCTTCTTACTTGTAGTTTTTCACAGTCATCTCTGCTAATCCATGATTTTAGTCGGACAACAGCAACTATCTTATCGCTCTGAAACGCACTGTATCTATGGGAGTAAACGAGTATATTTCGAGGCGATTATTTGCCAACCTCCCCATAAAACTATATAATTATAGGGGTTTCGTTTTTTAGACGTTGCTCTGACTGTGTGTGTGTGTGTGTGTGTGTGTGTATGGGCGTGTTTTATTACGTTCCAAATATGATTTTAATAAGTGTTATTAAGTTCGTTGAGCTTGTTTCGTTCCCCTTTCTCATGAACGGTAAATAGCCGAATTGCAGGGTAATCCCTTCACCCCACCACATCAAACCGATGTGTAATTTTTGGGCGTAGTTGTGAAAATTATATGGTACTTGAAATGCTTGAAAATGTGGGAAAGTTCATCAGAAAATTGGCTTAAATCTGCTAGTATTTGGCGGAAGTTAATAATGGGTTTCATTACGATATTTTGTGGCGGTATATTAAGTGGAATTTGCATTTCCAAACATCTGAGTGCACTTCTAGAGGCTGCCTAATTGGTGTTGGGTTTTCAAATACCATTTTAAAGGTTTAACTATATTTTATTAGAGGAATATAGAATCCTAACCTATATTTTGAGTTGCACTGGGCGTTTTTATACAGTTTTTAGATCAAAGAATATTTATTACTTGCACACATTTTACATACATTGTACATACATATGTACATACATATGTATGTATGTACGTTTGTATGTATTTGTTCGCGGTTGCCTGGAGTTGACTCGATTTGCATGTAAGAAGTACCCCAGTCGTCGTCTGCTGGCAATAAAAATCCATGAATATTTGCCAGGAGTAGCCATTGCTTCTACTCCACCCCCCAAGGAATCGAAGAATCCGAAGGAAAGCACAAAAGAGTGGGCGGAAAGGAGCGTGTAAAAACCAGGGAAACGCGTGAACAATGAAATAGAAATAGATGGAAACGAAATGAAATGAAATGCAGCAGCAGCAGCAGCACAAAAACTAAAAACGAACACGAATTGCAATTCAACGCAAAGGAAGGAAAGAATAAGAAAGACAAACAAACAAACAGGCAAATGTACTACAAAATCAATGTATGCCAAAGAGAAGGTGAGGGTCTATTCTATTGAATCTGTGGGTTTACATTTGCATATATGACACAAGCAGAGCTAACGAGAGCAAGTGGGTGTGGGTGGAATGTAAAGCGGGGACTGCCTCACACTCTGCTCAATATACCTTGCAGGCAAATATACAAATGACGCTGCGGAGAGCAAGCAGGCAGAGACGTGACCAGAAACGCACCAACACACGAAACAAGTGAGGGAAGAGGAAGAACAACGTGCGAATGGCGCTCAAAACGGCGCAGCAGCAGAGACGTGACGCAGCCGGGCAGAGGAGGAGACGGAGACGCCGGCTTGCCGGCCATTGAACTTGCGAAGTGGAGCTCAGAATTGGCGAAAGTGAAGACCCAATGCCGCAAGCGGAACGGAGACGGACGGCATCACACCACTCCCCTCATTCCACACTGCCCACTAGCAAAACAGAGAGAGACAGAGAGAGAGAGAGAGAGCAAGAGCGGGAGAGATAAAGCACGATCTTCGCATCGTTTCGTTGCTGCTGCTGCTGCTGCCGTTGCTGCTGCCCCTGATGACGCAGTAGTCGAAAGACAACAACAATAACCATAAAAACACAAAACTGATGATGAAGCAGAAACAACAAAAAAGGCGATTAGAAGAAGTTGCTGGATGGAGCAGGGAGCAACAGAAAGAGAGTCGCGTCTCTGCCACACTGACTGACTAACTGACTAACTGACTCTTGGACTCCATGGCCTCTTCTCACTCTTCTCTCTCTCTCTCTCTCTCACCCCTTGTACCATGATCATTAAGTTGATTATCATTGTTCTTGTTCTTGTTCTTTTCCTTTTTTTAGTGTACCCTGCAAAAGACGGTATTACGATTGTGATCAGAGGTGTGTACCGTACCACTTACTAGTAATAGTACTACTGCTTATATAGATGATGCCTAGGAACCTGTACTTTGATGTGTTTCTTTATAGTTCTGCCAAAGTTTGATCATTTATCATCTATGGCTTTGCTGTAAGGGTATTCAAATCCTCGACCTGCAATGCCATTCTTCCTTCATCTTGTTCTTTGTTGTTGTTAATGCATTCGCTTCTTGGAAGAACACCCGAAAATAACCAAAAGAAAGATACAATACAAACGACTTAAAAGCGAAAGAACCCAAGAACAACAACAGCACAACATTCTTGATGGCATCACAAACACATTAGTAAGAGAAGAGGAAAGAGAAGAGAGATACAAGAAGCAGGCAGGCAATCGACACACAAACATTTTGGTAAGAAGAGTAAAAGAGACGCAAGAAGAAGAGAGGGCAATTTGTTTGAAATGTAGGTCTATAGGTTTCACGAAATCCTCTATATGGGGGCCAGCAACAACAACAGCATTGCACGGCATGGCATGGCAACAGAGCGAGAACAGATGGAGAGAAAGACGAAGCGGATGAGTGCCTTTTTTTTGCTTTCCTTTCCTTCCATTATTTTGGCCATTTCTGATCTACCATTCCGCTGCTAAGCACGCGATTGCACTGAGAGAAATGATAATGATACTGCATTTCTGATGATCTTCTTTGGGTCATTTCAGGTTTTTTAAGAATTTACCAAAAAAAAATATGTATTAAAAAATGTTCTTTGAGTGCCTGAAAACCACTGCCATTGAGATCCCCTGATGAGTTATCTCTTGGTTATATCTTGGCTTGTATTGTTCCTCCATCACTTTGGTGCACTTTGACTGTTTGTCAGTTCTTGGCTCTCAACTTTTGGTTATTAGTCGCCTATTATTATTATTCTTTGGATTGTTGTCTTTTAGACTGTTTGATCGGATGTAGTTATTGTTGTTGATCTTAATGTTGTTTCCACAAGACTGATATACTATGTATGTATTTATTGTGCAAATGACTGTTTGAGTGGCACTGAATGCAGTTCTTTGAATACCCAGTATTCATGGTACTCAAGGGGTACATATTATATTTTTGTAGATGGTGGTATTTAGAATCCAGGAGGATAGAAAGCTAGATATCCTAAGTGTATATATTTTTGTTCTTGTATACTTTAAATAGAATTAAATAATCATTTAAATTAAATTATAATCGATCCGGTAGAAATATCAGAATTCTAATAATATTGTATGGAATTTAGTCCTTTAAATCCTGGCATTATTTATACAAATTTTCATCCCGATGTATCCTTCCTTATATCTACCCTAAAATGCATCCACACATCGGATATCTTATAGTCTTGGACTCTACCCCATATCATTCTGACTTGTTTACTTCTTACAATATTTTCGGTGTTTCTTTTTTCGCATTTGTTTATTTGCCTTTGTATTGGTGCCACAACAAACGCTGTCCAATTGGCCGACAAAACAAAACGAACAAAAAAAAAATGCAACTCATAAACTTTGGGATTTGATGTTGAAGCGCCTTAAAAGCAAATCTCTGGCCACAGTTTGTTTCCATTTGGCTTATGTTTTTTGTGTTTCTTTTTTTTATTTATTTATTCTGGCCTAATGTCATTACACAAAAACGAATCCCAGCCGAGGCAACGGAGCACAAAAAAAAAAAAAAAATGTGTACCAAAGCAATTTGTATTATGGCCCGGCGTCTGGCTAAATGCATGCCTGAGGTGGAGGTGCCCTGAAAAATAATGAACTTCCTAGAGCATCAGTGGCTCTGGGGCAACTAGCGCCAAAGAAAACATCAGTTTCTAAGGATTTTTAATTAAAAATAAACACAAATTTCTGAATAATTGCTTCTTGAATGCAGGGGCAGAAATTGCTTGAACGAACTAATTTGCTTGACGTTTTTACAGGTTAAAGGTACAGAAAAGAGCGCTATTTTCACAATTGTTTGAGACTTTATTTGGAGAAGGAATATTTGTGTTTTACCGATCCGGCATGACGACATCTTTTGGACTATTTGTTCTGCCAATTCGATGCAGTATAATTATACTTATGCATATGAAATTTTGCACATGGCATCCTTGAAACTTTACATGAAATAATATTCAGAAATTTTAAATAGTTCATGCCTGAGACTGCAGCTAATGAGCCATGACTTTCCGGCTGGCATTTCACCTCTCGGAGAGCGAGAAGCCAGTTGCAAAATTCACACTACATTATTTCCAGTATCGATTCCAACTATTTATCATTTGTTATTTGATTATTTTACATTATTTATGGGTGCTCCATGAACGTTTGAGGGTCTTTGATTGTGTGTCGTATTTTGTTATAACATTTAATGAAGTATGCTGCTGCTGCTTGCCAACATATCTTGATAATTGGCCCATTTATAGCTACCTCATAGTGAAATGCAATTTAATTTATGCGATTATTACCTCAAAGGTATTTAACGGGTGGTTTGGCTGAAGGGCTGCACTAAAAGCATTTAACATATATTTATTTTAAGCGGATTAAGCAGCCCAGCAGTGGAAAGCAGTGGACAAACAGGGCTAAATGCTGGCATCTCTCATGATTAATATATTTTCCGGTGGGTGAAAATCAGCCCAGAATGAATTAATTCCGTTTAATTAATTAACTGAAAATATCAATGAAAATTCATGAAATATATATGCATCTGGTGTCTGTCTAACCATATAATACCGCTTTACGCTCGCTTTTAGGCCCAAAGAGTGTTTCTTCACGGCGACACAGGGCCAGGCCTCATTAGGTTGCGGCAGATTTGAGGCGTGCTCTCTGACCTAAGCACGTATGTAGCTTTCTATCATTGATCTGTCGTCTACGAACTGTCACATAACTGACAGAGCAATGTACACTATTTTGTATAACTTTTGAGGATATTGTAGGCACCGAACATACTCTAAAAGAGTCGTTTGACGCATACCTACTACTTTCTATAGCTTTTTGGGTTAGTTTTCACTTTCTCTAGGTCCTTCCTCTAGGTCTCTTTAATGGGCAATTGTCCAAAGTCGTAAAAAACAATCAAATGTAATGGGATTTCTTCAGGGTTCTAGTGCTCACATTCCAGGCTTTCCAGAAAGGTATCATTTGTTCCATTTGGAACAATGAAAATGTCCCAAAATGAGTTTTGAAAGTGGTGACGTGTGGCATACAGCTGTAAGTGGCGGCAGTGCTGTGACACCGATGACAAACCACATTTATATAAATATTTATTCCTATTTGCAGATCTACGCGTTGAAGGCCAGACAGCTACAGGTAATGAAAACTGCAGTTGGCTTGCACGTATACGTATTTACGTATACGCCATGTGGTGCAGCCGTAAAATGAATAGTCGAAAAGCCAAACAAAAGATAGAACCGTAAAGCCTCAAGAGAGACATGAAGAAACTCTCTCGACAATGAGATACCCGGTAGTCATTGCCGAAGGCCGTATTAGAGGTACATCGAGAGTGACTTACGAAAACCCACCCTTAAGTGTGAGAGAGTGACAGAGAAAGCCCATCCGTAGATGCTCAGCCACTCTGGAAGAGGTACAGTGAGAGTGACTTACGAAAACCCACCCTTAAGTGTGAGAGAGTGACAGAGAAAGCCCATCCGTAGATGCTCAGCCACTCTGGGAGAGGTAGAGTGAAAGTGAGTTACGAAAACCCACCCTTGAGTGTGAGGGAGTGACAGAGAAAGCCCATCCGTAGATGCTCAGCCACTCTGGGAGAGGTGAAGTGAGAGGGGAGCTCTGGGAATTTGTTCTGCCTTATTCTTAACCCTATAATTATCTATCTACAATGATTTCTGTTGTATAAATAGATAGTAGCACTACTAATAGATCACCCAAGAATATATATGGAGGTCGATAGCCTTTCATTCTGTCTGCCTCTTGCCTAGACTTGCACGAGTTCAATATACCCCGTGCACACTCTGTGGAGGAGGTACCGGGTATACAAAACTAATCAAATGTGGAATAATAACGAGGCAGATGATGATGATGATGACTGGCACGACGCACGGGTTCAAGAACGTTCATTCGGCATGAACTTGCAAAGGCCGTAAAGTCCGTGCAATAGAAGTGAATGCACTCGACCAGAAGCAGCGGCAGCAGCAGCGAAACGGCAGCAATTTCGAGCTGATTCCTGGCGCTGCAACCGCAATTTAAACTAATAACTTGCAACAACAACAACAACAGCCACCATCAGTAGCGACAGCAGCAAGCAGCAACCAGCAATCCGCAACAATGGCAATGACAATAATTTATTTTTGAATTAATTTTTATTCGTTTTGCTAAACAACCACACATGTGTACATGTGTACATCTGTACATGTGCCTACTTGTGCCATCAGCTGCAACAATAGAGATACTCGTATTTGCATGCACATTCGCGCATATGCACTTTTCAACCACAGACTCTCGGCTCCGTGCCACACAGTGGTTCCGAGTGCTGCGACCAAGAGAAAGGCAGAACTCGGCTTGGCAAGCATCTGAACTAATTAATTTTTTGAGTATTTATTTTGAAAGTCATTAAAACCCATTAAATGCCATAGCTTTAGGGGAGGTTTTTCGAACGAGTTCTGTGCTAGTTTGAAGCACAGTTTAGCGCCATTTCTTCGGTGCCCTAGAAACTCTACTGGATGCCAATGGGAAATCTATGAAATCTTTACAGTTATGTTCGGGAAATCGATTAGGAATCATTTTGAAACAGTTTAAGCGAGTACATTTATGTATAGCCCTGAGAAAAGTATTGTACATTAAATATTTTTTGTTTTAGGCATTTTTTGGAAATGTTTTTTTTTTATTTTTTTTAAGAAATTCCCACTTCAACTCACATTCGCGAAAGTCGGACAACTGTTCCAAACTCAAGACATTATTCTCCATCGAGGAAAGATTCAGTGGAGTTTTGTTAATTTAAATAGCTACAGCTATTTATATAATTTTTAGAGGTTTAAGTATATAGGAATTCTGTATAACATTCCATATGTCCAGGATCCGAATCGTTTAAATACAATTTGAGGTACAATTTGGAAAAAGTCTCATAAAAACGGGCTAAAACTCTACGTTTTACACTGGTACTATCTTCAAAGATTTATTAAACCATTTATTTTTATTTTTTTGTATTTTATTTACCTATTCCTTGATTAAATTTCATGTCTCACACCACTTTTCGTGGCATCTGGTAGCACTGTGCAGGGTGCCGGCGTTGGCGCTGCAGTTGGTCTTCGGTTTCCAGTGACTGTGACTGTGACAGTGACAGTTGTCAAAGAGCGACGCCGACGTTGGCCTCCATTGCAGTTCGCTGCATGCCCCCCCCCCAACCATCCCCTCCGCTGTGCAGTCCCAGTCTCTCTCTATCTCTCTCTCTCGCTCCGCCGCTCTCTTTATCTGTTCCACTCCCATTGCCATGTCCCACCGCCGAGTCGCTCGTCGTCAGTCATCAACGCCCGCGCACACGTGTCTCTCTGGTTCCCTCTCCCCGCCACCCTGTTCTATCCAGCCATCTCTCTCCCTCTCTCTTTCTCCGTGCTATTGGTGACTCTTTCGCTCGCAGTGTTATTGACACTGCCAGGCCTAACGGTAGATAAAACCCAAACGAGGCAGGCAGACAGCGCCGTTCCCGGGAACCGATCCGATCCGATCCGAGCCGTAGAGAACACAGACCGTCTCCGTCTCTATTTAATTTTCTATTCTAGATTAAATTATAATAAATTGCAATTTTTCACTCCTTTTATTTGCTCTATGTGTGTGTGTGTGTGTGTGTGTGGTTGTGTGCGTGTGTGTTTTTGTGCTTTTTCCGCATTTCGTTGTGCAATCCGTTTTCCTGTTTCGGTTCTGGGACTGGCAATTTGTTCTGTCATCTGTCGACGGGGTTTTCCACATCCACATCCAGAACTCCGGGTGTCGGAATGGATCTGGGCGCCCACACACACACACACACACGCAGAGGAGAGGTCTCTAGTACAAAATGTAGATACTTTGCAAGGGAAGAGAAAACCGCATCTCAACATCAGACAGACAGACAGACACATTCAATGTGTTTTAAAGTTTGTTTGCTCTTAATCTCAATCTCATTTTCAATCGCAATCCCAAAAGTGCATTCAACTTGCGGTCGGGCGGGGGGAAAAACGAAAACAACACAAAGACTCTAATAGAACTTACAAATATTTGGGGTATTCCTGTATCACTCAGAGTTTGCTCTAGATTGGATTACATGATTTGGAGCCGATCAGCCGAGTGCAGCTGTTCTATGGGAATCTATTCATTTATAGTGAAAGTTTTGCCCTGCACTACAGAATAGAGGTATGCACATATTTCGCAATGAATGATAGATCTTTTAGAGTACTTTTGATTCATTTGCCACAGAGAGAAAATGTGAGCAAATAAAATATAGTAGAGTAAAATATTTCCATTTACACAGGAATGTTACAATCATCACTTTTCATTGGAAATTATCCCACCAGCTGAACAAATACAAACAGCTGATTTTTTTCTTTAAACAGTAAAATATTTTCTCACTTGATTTTCAAGCACAAGAGTATTCCTTTCCTGTTTTTGTCAGATTGTATTGGTATGGTGTTTATTTGAGGTTTTTATAACGAATGTATCCTATCGCTTATGGGAAATTTATCCTCCCTAGAGAGGATTCCATGCCTTTTGCTTGCTGGCAAAAAAAGAATTAAGCAAACAAATATACCTATAGATAGAAATAAATACAAAACAATAGGTACGAAAATACGTACATATATGTATATTTAGCTGCTCCACAAAAACACTGCCATACTGCCAGAAATGTAAGGATTAAGTAGGAATTTTGACCACATCCATGACCATTTGGCTTATTTCGAACAAAGGTAAACAAATATATGACTAAATAATCCCCCGAAATGGCACGGCACTCACTCGAACGAGACACACAAACTTTAATCCTTTGGAATTTGGGCTTTAACTTTTAAATGCTTTTATAGTTCAAACAATTTATAAAACATTTGCTATATGAATTTACATTGCTACATGAATGCTACACGAATTGCACAAATGATTTTAAAATGATTTCTCAAATGTGGCTAGCCACACACCTCCAACCACAACCCCCCTCTTACTCCCTCTTGAAAAATAAAACATTTAAATTCAAAAAGCTGTGGGAATGTGGTACAACTATATTCAAAGAGAGAGAGAGAGAGAGAGAGAGAGAGAGAATTCATGGAAAAACTTTCTTTTTCCTGTGCAAGTTCTAAGAATCGCAATCCAATTGCAGGCAAAGGATTTGATTGAATGTAGGAAACACGAAACAAAATGAAATACGTTTGGTTGTAAAGGTAAGAGAGAATTCGCGTTAAGGACGCCGAAAGGCAGGGAGGGAGAAGGAAATAATAACCCTGCCAAAGGGAGGAATGGTCATTGCTTTTTCATAGCACAAACATTTCATTTTATATCTGCTTTCTCATAACTTTTCACAAACCAAACACCTGGCAGCAGCCAAGCTTTCAGTCAACAGAAGCGACCGTGAGGGATACAATATCCCGTGTACTCGTGTGTTCTCCTCATCTTTCTCATGGCACAAAAACCCACACACAAAAACATGCACACAAAAGCCATTCACAAGCAAATAGAAATCAAAATAGAAATATAATAAAAAAAAAACAGCTAACAATAGACGATTCGCT